TGCTTTATAGATGAATGCAAGATAGGACTTGAGAAATGGTAATGAAGAGTAATTATCATATAGTATATATACTGTTTTTCTAACAGCATTCTGTATGATGTATAAACTGGAATCCAAGAATTCAGAAAAACAAACAAACAAACAAACTAGACAAGAAGGTCAAATGAGGGAAATTTGGAAACAGCTTTTTAAAGTAGAGACACAGAGGCATTATTTTGGGTAATACTTCTTTATTGCTTTGTTGAAGTTGAGAACAACCTAAATGACCTCTAAGGGAGCAACCTCAGTGACCCCCACCTGGAAAGGTTTTCATATTTGATTTATTAAGTTTACTTTAAAAACTTATAGTTGTTGGTAAATGAATGCTAATCACTTACACGCTTGCATTTGCAGTTTGCAAATGCACTTTATAAAATGCAGCAGTAATGGAAGAAAGTACAAATAATGTCAATTAGACTTTGAGCTTAATTACCTTTTAGAGTAACAAGGTTTGGGAGCCAACAGTAATGCTAGGGCAGACCTGTAAGTCCATCTTTATTCTGCTGGACTATACATATTTTTTACATGATCAACTAGACAAAAATTCATTAAATCATGCAAGTAGCAATGTACATCCTTCTGTAACCCCCTAGGAAACTGCTTTATTTCAGAGTGCCCAGGCTGAGGGAGCTGGGTACAGGCTGAGGGAGCTGGGCTTGTTCAGCCTGGAGAAGGATGTGGGGTGACCCAATTGCAGCCTTTCAGTACGTAAAGGGAGCTGATAAACAGAAGGAGAATCAACTCTTTGAAAGGGCAAATAACAGCAGGACAAGGGGAAATGGTTTTAAGTTGACAGAGGGAAGATTTAGGTTAGATGTCAGGGGGAAGTTCTTATGAGAGTTGAGAAGTGCTGGAACAGGCTGTGAATGAGGCTGTGGATGCCCCATCCCTGGAGATGTTCAAGGCGAGGTTGGACTGGGGCCCTGGGCAGCCCAGTCTAGTATTAAATGGGGAAATGGAGAGGTTGGTGGCCCTGCCTGTGGCAGGGGGTTTGGAGATTCATGATCTTTGAGGTTCCTTCCAACCCAGGCCATTCTGTGATTCTGTGATTATTGTAGGCATAAATTATACTGGTGATTATATAGATGTGAACATTTTTATATTGATTTAACTACATCACAACAAGAGTTATATGTACCATTTCAGTATAAGCACCATACTGAAAGGTGCATAGATACATACAATCGCTACATTGTTAAGAGTTAGCCACTGTTGTCTCCATGGAAGAAAGCAAAGAAAGCACATCTGTCCCACCTCTTTTGCATTGCAAGAAATTAAGAAAGATTCCTCATGTTTTCTGTCTCCTTAAATACCTCTCTCTAAAAGCTATTTTCATAACATGTGAATAAACACATAAGAAAGTGTAACAGAAATGGAAATTATGACATATAGAAGAAAGAACTGCAATTAAACATAGACTCATCTAGAAATTCTCCATGTAAGTGGTTATCAGTCATATTGGCAATCACAGTACTCTTGTGCATTTTGATAAGTTTGTTCACTTGATGTCCATTGCAGGAATATTTTTGCTTTCATTTGACAAGAACTTTTAATGATCTGTTATGTAATTAAATATCAGTTGTATTACCTTTATGAAATGTGGCCCAGTTAATTAAGTGGTAGTGTGTCAATTTTTCCACAGTTGCCTAAAGTGGGCTATAAAATTCCGTAATAACACATGTCAAAGAAAGAATTCTAATTGACTCTTAAGAGTAGTTCAATTCTTAGTTGGCAAAAGGCTTTCATGTTGGTAATAAATGTAATATATTCTGTGACAATTATTTAACAGCAAGGATTAGTTGCTAATAATTCTTCTAGACGTAGTTTGCAGTGACATATTTCTGGGCAAGTTTTCTTTGAGTTGGTTAGTTGCTAATGTTTTCTTCTGTTCTTGTGTGAAAGAACAGCTGCAGATTCAAATTCTAAAATGAATTTGCTATTGCAGCATTGACAAACATCTCAGAAAATATATTCTCTCTCATTTTTTGTTTCCTATTTTATTCTGAGCAGGAGAGATTCAATATGGTCTCTTTATTTTGAGTATGGAAGAGAAACAAGTTTAAAATAATGTAAACACTGAAGAATAAGTACACGTTGTACTCTGGATATTGTGTAAAAGCACTTAGTTGGTGTATTTATTTGAAGGAGTTCCACTTCTCCCTGTCTTGTTGTTGAACACATAAATTTTGACAGAGAAGAGCTTAAGCATAAGATCAGCATACTGACTTGAATCATTCAGAATTTCTAAAGGAAACCTGATGGAATGGCATAGAGAGAAGTGGAGCCTGCAGTTCCATCCTTATCTGTATTGGCCTACACAAAAGAGCTGCAAGACATACTGCTGACTCTCTGCTTCCTTTAAGATTTGGAAGAGACTTTCTCACTGGACAGTTTTTGGTGTTTGGGGACTGAAAACTCAGTAGCTGTAGATGTGTTTTCTACACCAGCACTCCTGTAAACATATCACAATATGACGACTTTATCTTTCCTGCCAATGAAAACAGGAGTTTATTTTCCTTATAGACTACCTTCCACTGAATGCAAATACTTAAGATATCAAGAATCTTCATGGCATCTCTTGACCTCAGTAAACCTCAATGTACACTATATGAACGGTCCTTTTCCCTTATTCCATCAATGTTAATGTGTTTCCCCAGTACTAAGCACTCTGTATTTTTTACACTCTTGGTTATATAAATCCCAAAGACTCTTCATCTCCAGCTTTATACACAACGGAAATTCACTTCTCCAGATATCTCTACTGATCTTCATTCTTATTAGGGCTAGCTCCTGCAACCTAGTCTAACAAGTTTCGGCCTACTTTAAGTTGTTATACTAGATTACACTTACCATCATAGGCGTATCCTCAGTGTTGTTTTTACTTGTGAAGGAAGCTGTGTAAGAATTTATAAATGTTGAAAAGCAGTGGCATTGTAGGTCATATCACAGAATATTCTCCCTTTCAGTACCTTCATCAGTGCGCATATGTTTAGGCTGTCATTCGTGTATTTTTCCCTACTTATTATGTGCATCCTTCATATAAACAAATCCCAGTAACTGCCTCATATAAAAATAGATGTGGAACAATTACTCTTCTCACTCTTCATTAGAACTTTCAGATTTTTAGTCTGTTGCTGTAAGGTTGTGGCTACATTGGCACTAAGGTGCATGTCCTCTTCATCTGGTCTAAGTAGATGATGTGGACTGTCTGGCATCAAATGTGCAAATTGATATAGATACACAGTCTGAGGTTTGTCTTTCTAATTTCTAACTTTTGTTTGTTTGTTTTTGAAGTTTTAGACACATAGATTGTAACTTTAATAAAGACAAAAGGCTACTAATAAAGACAATAGTGAATTTGTTCAGGTTTTAGCTGTAACCATTTTTGTATTCAGATGACAGCTGTGCAGGTAACATTCTTTGAGACTACCAAAGATTTATATGTGTGTGTCTCCCAAAGAATTTTCAGGCTGTGTCAGGAAGCACCAACTGTTCTTAACTGTCTACATAATTCTACATGCAAAATGAGTTGTTTTTATGGGCAGGCCTTTGGAAACTGCTGCTGAAAACCAGGAGATTGCACTCTCTAAGAATGTCCAATGCTCATGTGAAAGGTGTATCAGTTTCCTGAACTGCAATCTCTAACTTATGGGAGTATAGCAAATGCCTGTGTTTCTCTGCTGAATTTGCAACCCAGTGTACAATTGTGCATAAACAATTTTAACAATAGGTAATACAGTTTATATAAGGAAAACTTTTGCTTCCTGTGAGCTTTCAGACTAACATTAATCAGCCAGCAGATTTTGCTGAAATGGAGCTAGCTGCTCCATTCAGCAGAGATGAAGAGTGCAGAATTGCTTTGAGTGAGAAAGGAGGAAAGGTTAATATGGAGCTGTTGGGTAAAATACAGTCTTTTCAAATTGGGCACCCAGTTCGTGATCATCAGCTCCCAAAATCAGTGTCACAAATAGGGTCATAGCTCAGAATTTACATGCAAATAGGGCTGTGCATGCCCAGAGATAGAGGCCCAAAAGAAAATTTTTGGCTGCACTGAGCCAGCTCAAAGAACACTGTAACCAATGTGCCTGTTGTTTGCTTTTTTTTTTTTTTTTTTTTTTTGTTTTTTTTTGTTTGTTTGTTTGTTTGTTTCACACCAAAATTTCAATGTTTTTTGTGTAAAATTGACAATTTAGTAAGTTTCTGTCCTTCTCTATAGTACTAAAAAAACTGACAAAAATAGCAGAAATTAATTGCTGCCAGATGTCATCAAAAGGCTGGGACTAATGTTTACCTGCAACAGTAGCTAAGGCAGTATCTGAACATATTAAGTTGCTATATCTACATTAGGTACAAGAAAATCAAATATATGATAATTAATCATAAAATGCACATGAAAGTAACAGTAAATATTTTAGCTCAATTGCAATTTGAGTTTGATTAAATAATGCAGTATGTTTTTCAGTCATTGTACTAATGAGTTGCTAATTCCCAGTCAGAGTAAGAGATTAGATTCCCAGTTACCTATTAACTAGCCAGGCTACTCCATACAAGCTGGAGCCTGTAACTTCCCTGGGAATGCCTCACTAAAGCAAGATAAGGTGGCTGTTAAAATGAGAGCGGAACATGTGATTTCGCTGTATCTGATCTCTCAACTAAGTGTCCCACTCAGTATGAGCCAGTAAGTAAGCATGTGATCTTATAGCTGAAGATGTCTGTGCCCAGTAACAACAATTTCCTGATTATGTAAATAAGTTCTTAAAAATCCGTTGCATTTCTTCAAAATGAATCTGAAATATTTCTTTTAATGATGGTAGCTGACTGGCATTCTGCTTTAATAATTCATGCACTTCAAGCATATTTCTCTTCGTTTTGACACACTGTCAAAAAGAAGGCAAAATCAGTTAAATAATTGAGAACATGTGAGCTGCCATAAACAATCGCTCTTGTTTGTTTCTCTGCAGAAAGAAAGGAAGTGAAGGTGGGAGAGTACAATGCTGTAGCTGACACGCTGGAAATAATCAACAACAGCATCAGGTTCCAAGGTAAGATGGGAAACTCAGAAGAAGTACAAGAGTGACATGGACATAGCTTGCTGTCTAGAGATCTGTTGGAGCTGTTTGGTATTAAAAACCCTATGAAACTGCATACAGAGAAAAGGAAATAAGCTGTTCTTAAAAGCAGGAGAAATCTAACAAAAAAAAAAAAAAAGCTAGTTTTACTGTATTGATACTTTCCATTCAAATAATGGGAAACTGATATGTGTATATCTTTTATTATTTCAACAAGCTACAGATACGTCATCCATTTCATCTCTACCAACCAATAATGTTTTAATTTCTTCCTCATCTCCCACTCTCCCAGTTCCTCTCCCCCCAGAAGTTACTCATGTACTTTACTTGCAAATGAGAAGGAAGTCACTGGTTTTTGTTGGGAGGGGTCTGCTAGACAGTTAGAAAATATAGTTTCAAAATACTAATGCTAGCTTTATTTAAGTTGGCATTTAAGAAATAGGGCTAAAGAGAGTGCTCAGCCCAGTAGTACTGCCAAGGCCCTTAAAAAGCATGTGGCTTGTGTTGCCATATCTCCTAGTCATCTTTTTTCCAGTCCCTAGTCTGCTTCTATTGACATGTGGACTTCCTCTACACTCTCAGCAGAAGATGACTTACATTAGCAGTAGCTGACTCTCAATCAGGCATATGGCTTGGAATCACAAAATCATAGAATATCCTGATTTGGATTGAACCCACAAGGATTCCTTAAACAGAATGGCTTGTGTTTGAAGGGACCTTAAATGTCACCTAATTCCAAAACCTTGCTGTGGGCAGAGCTGACACCCATCAGATCAGGGTGTCCAGGGCCCCATTCAACCTGTCCTTCAGCACTTCTAGGGATGGGGAACTCACAGCTTCTCTGAGCATCCTGTGCCAGAACCTCACTGCCTTTTGAGTGAAAAATTGCCTCTGAACTTCTAATCTAAATTTACCCTCTATTAGTTTAAAATCATTCCACTATGTCCTATCACTATTAGGCCTCCCTTCTGATTATAAGCTCCCTTTAAGTACTGGAAGGCCACAATGAGGTCTTCTCTTCTCTAGGCTGAAGAAGCCCAGCTTTCTCATCCTTTCTTTGTAAGAGAGGTGTGCCAGCCCTCTGATCATCTTTGTGACCCTCCACTGGACCCACTCCAAAGGCTCCACATATTTCTTGTGTTGACTCCAGGTGGAGATGCATGAAGGCAGAGAAGATGACAATTACCTCCCTTGTCCTGCTGTTCACTACTCTTTTGAAGTGGTCCAGAGTACTGTTGGCCTTACAGGCTGCAAGCCTTACACTGCTGGCTCACATCCAGCTTTTCATCCACCATAACTTACAAGTCCTTCTTCAAAGGGCTGCTCTCAATGAGTTATTCCACATATCTGGAATTGCCCCAACACAAGTGCAACACCTTCCTTGTACTTTGCATCATTGAACTTCATTAGGTTCACATGGACAAGCTTAAAAAGCAGGCCCAGGTCCCTATGGATGGCATCCCTTCTTTTTGTCCTATCAACTGCACCACTCAGCTTAGTGTTGTCTGCAAATGTGCAAAGAGTGCACTCAATATCAACATCTACATCACTGATAAAGATGTTAAAGAGCACCAGTCCCAAGGCAGACTCCTGGGGAAGATCACTCCTCACCAGCCACCATGTGTCAGTGCTGTCCCTCTGCTCCCTGTGAGAGCTGCAGCTGCCATGAGTCCTCCTCTCAGCTTCCTCTGCTCTGGGCTGAACCAACCCAGGGATGTCAGCTGCTTCTCAAATGTTTTCTCCTCCAAACCCATCATCATCTTTGTTGCCCTCCTTTTGACATTCTGTAATAGTTTTGTGTTCTTCTTGTATTGTGGTACTCAAATCTGCACCTGGTGCTCAAGGTGAGGCTGCACAGCGCAAAGCAAAGTTGGAATCCTTTCTTTCACAGAGCCGGCAGTGCTGGCACTTCAGAGTATGGTTGACTCTTGGCTACCAGAGCACACTATTGACTCAGGATCAACTTGCCATCAACCAGAAGCCCCCTTTCCACGGGGCTGCTCTCCAGCCTCGTGTCACCCATTCCATATACATATCTAGGACCATCCCTATTTTGGAGGTGACCATTTTCATCAAGTAATGGACCAATATTGTCTCTGGTCCTCCTTTTACTGTTAACATATGTAAAAATGCCCTTATTGTTGTCTCGCAAAGTACTGGCCACATGAATGTTCTCCCTGAAGTGGCAAAGAGCATCTGTGTAGTCTTCCCATGTCACCCAACCTCACTTTCAGTAGCCATACACTTTCTTTTTTCACATAGTTCTAGAAGATCCCTGCTCAACCAAGTTGAACTTCTCACCCTGCCTGCTTGACTTCTGACATTTAGGAATTGCCTGCTCCTGTGCTTCAGCTTCCCACAGCCCTATGTCTGTTTTAGCTTTCTCTGCACTGGTTGCAGGTATGGTGGGTTTCTGGAAAGGCCATTCGAATTTGCCCCGTTTGTAATGAAAGTATGCTGAGAAAAAATGTACTTTGTTTTCCACTCACATTTCTGTCACTTACTTCAGAAAAGCATAACCTCCTAGCAATCTTTACAGTTAGTTCAGTGTTATTTACATTTTAAAATGAAAATAGGCATATATTTTACAAGGTTCCGCATTGGGGTTTTGTTGTTTGTTTGGCTTTTTTTTTTTCCCCAAAGATCATGTTAATCTGCTCCAGAAATACCAACCTTCTTGTCAATCAACCTGACTAACATGTCTATCAAAGTCAGTATTTTCATCAGTTAGGAATGTGGTTTACATTTGCTAAATATGCTATATCTAGATAGCGTATTGAGGAGAGGCATATTTTCTAACAGAAATTCTATGATTGAACTCTGGCCTTTTTTTTCCTTCTTGTAATTCTAGGACTTGAACCTCCAAAGGACAAAACAATTATACAAGAGGAGCTACGGAAGATCTCTCTACCACTCTACAGCATCCTTTCAGCCCTCACAATCCTAGGAATGATAATGGCCAGTGCTTTCCTGTTCTTTAACATCAAAAACAGAAATCAGAAGTAAGGCATTCATGTTACTTCAGTCTCAACTTATTCTGTATTTAAACGCCAAGTTTGTGGAGTTTGCCATTAATATTTGTTAAGGAAAATATCTAAACTGCGGAAGAGTTATAATTTAGAATTATTTAATTAGAATTACTGTTATATACGCACATACTGAAACAAATGCCTGCTAGAACAACTTTTTTATAGGTTCATAAAGTGTGATTTTTTAAAAGTTATGTTTGACTGTGAGCTATTAACATTACTCTATCTAATTAACCCATTGGTAAAAAAGGATACACTTTTCACTAAATATTCAAAAACCTGAAACAGTGGTAGAGTTTATAAAAAAGCAAATGTGCATGCTTATAGTTCTACAGGAAGGTTTATAAGAAGGTTACAAAGAGTTCTTCTTTATTGCTCTAAAAGAATCATCTCTTTAATGCACTATCATCTTTTGTCCATAGATTAATAAAGATGTCCAGTCCCTACATGAACAACCTTATTATCCTTGGAGGAATGCTTTCTTATGCATCTATTTTTCTTTTTGGTCTTGATGGATCCTTTGTCTCTGAAAAGACATTTGAAACACTCTGCACAGTAAGTAATTCCATGTATTTGAATTTAAGATTGTCTGGCAGAAAGCTTTACTAAATTTGTAAGTGGAAGAGGTCAGTATTTGGATGCTTTATTCTTTTTAATAACTGATTCTCTTAGTTCTTTCCAGGAATATTTTCTGGGGCCAAATTATGACACATTCATAAAGCTGTATTATTATTTGTGAGAGTTTCATATGCATTAGGAACTTACCTCAGACTGAAAATGTCAATGTATCTTCTTGTTTTGAAATTACATGCGTAGTTTTTGCATTAAATGCTGTGTCTATGAAATTAGAATAAAAACCTTCAAAGCTACTATGTTTTCCTTATAGATTCCATATTATTTCATACTTCATGACAGCTGCTTGAAACATTTCTACTCAGTCTTTTTTCTGAATTTTCAAAGGCTTCTACTGCTATTTCCAAGCTAGACTTGAAATTCACACAAGCCTAACAGTCCTGCAACTAGAGCACAAATTCTCTGTATACAGAACAGAAAAAGGTTCCTCAAAGTCTTCGAAAGGAAAATCCTGTTCATCTCTCCCAAGCTCAGTATCTATAGGGACCAATACAAAGTGGAAGGTATCAGCACTCATTTGTTATCCAGTGATTATCTTTGTAACGCTGTAATGTGATGGGAAGTACAGCGGTAATAGCAGGTAACAAAGTCTTTGGCTGCAGCAAATGGGGACAAACCCAAATGCAGCAGCTATGGATACAGAAATAAAGGAAAAAAAGCTGCTTACCTTTGGATGGCCTTACGTAGGCAGGGATCTCCAAAAGGATCCCACACCTCCACTGCAAACCTTTAAATGAGGTCTGGGAAAGGGTGGATCCTGCCTGCACCCCCTTCCAGTCATTCAGGTGCATGCAGATGAGCTCCCCTGGGTTGGTCCTGCCTTCCCACTAGGTGCTCACTCACTGTTTTATGCCGTGACTCAGCATTTCCACTAAAATCTTTTTTTGTGTGTGTGTGTGTGAACCATCTTCTAAAGGATCAGAAGTGTTCATTTAGAAGCCAGTTATTGATATCAATTCCCATTCTTTTTTCATCTTCCTTTGCAGAAAAATCTAGTATCAAGGAGTTCAGGTTGTAGGTGTCTATTTAGCTGTGTAGCGCTTACATTCAGACTTTAAGGCCTCATTGCTAGGCTGTAGACCATTGCATGAGTAGGCTGTTCACCGTCCTCCTCTTGAAGAAGCCAAGCTTTACAGAGCAGAAGGAAGGAAAGTAGGAATCAGAGGTACCGATTGGAACAGAGCTGTTCCAGGGAACAGGTTTCCATCCAGAATTAGCTATGTAAAACTAAATTTATATCCCTACTTTAAATGTGAAACAGCTTAGTCTAATCACAGAAAAATGAGCAAACATTTCCAAAATCCTATGAACCAGAATGTTTCAGCTAGCTGATTTTATCTCTGATTTTTTTCTCAAAGTGTAACCAGTACTCTCATACTCTAAAAGCAACAAAATTTAAATGAGGGTTGCTTTGTTCTGTCTCACTTATCTTTCTTTTAAAAATAATGAATGTAAGTTTGAATATGTCACCTTATCTTAATTAAAGACATTTTTATTTATCATAGAAGATGATTAACAGAACCAAAGTCTCTACTAGAGGATATCTGTACAGACTCTTAAATAACTTTGGATCAGCTTTACCTAATGGATCCACAAGAAAGGAGATAGAGCAGAATACTGCATTCTCAAAGCCAAATTTTGATTAGGAAATATTATCGTATACCTTAAATGGATATCTTATGTAAACAGAGCTGAAAATTTGGGATTTCACCTCAGTTTTGGCTTTCCTGTTTTTCAGTTCGTTATGGAATCATTCCTGATTGTGCTTTTGTGTACGTGGATGTTGATTTATCTTATGAATCCCAGCTCTGTCAGTGATTAGTATAAGAATCACAGATGCAAAAAAACCTCCAGAATCAAGTTATCAGGATACTTTTCCAACCTCCTGCTCATTAAAACAATTATTTCAAAATTTTTCTCCTCCTGTTATAATCTTTTTTTCAGTGGAATAGCTGGTAACTGATAGCTTTCAATGAACAATTTTCTTTCTACAAGCAATCTTTCCATGCCCTCCATTCAACATGGCAAAATGCTTTCCCAGTATCTAGGAAACACTGAATTAATGCTGGTGAATTCATAAATATGGTAGACAAACTCACTTTTCTGTTCTGTAACTCTTCTGTCTTTCCTTTCTCCCAAAAAACTCCCACTGAGTACTGAGTACAGAGTGTTCACTTGGCAACATGTAATGAACATCCATCTCTCCATATGGGCAGCAAGCTTACTGGTTTCATAAAGAGTACTTTGAGGTACTTTTATAGGATTAGACCAGTACAAATATCTCTTGATCATTCATTTCCCTGGCAAGGCATGATTTTTAATACACATTCTAACCATATTAGAGATAGATATAAAATTCACATTTTATGAAAAACTGTTATTTAGTCTTTAAAAGAACCAACTAGAACGGAAAATGATCATAAAAAGCTGTTGAGCCAAAAATACGTGGGTACAAATGGAACAACTTAGGCGCAAAGAAGAACCACATTGAAAGAGGCAGATTTTTGTTTCTTCTGTAGGGAAATCAAAATTTTGATTCAGCCATTGTAAGTACATGCAAATCTAAAACACTATCATTAACGCTATTCTCTCTAAGCTAAGTAATCACCTTATTTTTCCTTTCAAAAAATTAAAATAAAAAAATTATATAAAAAATATATATATATATAAATTATATAAAAATTATTAGGTCTCTGCAGAGTAGCTGTATATATATGATAAATGTTTTCTTAGATATAGTACATATATATAGTAAACATAGAGATCATTCTATATTAGTGTCATTTTTGATAACTTTCTGATAACTCTAATAGAAGCGCCTTAAATATAACTGAATCTATGTTTTATTCTATAATATTCCAAGGACACTGAAGCACAATATAAAATTATACCAGTAACACTTGAAAATTTGAAAGGATTTCTTTAGTAAATTGTACCACTTTTGAAGGAGGAGTTCTATAAACCAGAACCAAGTATTAAATGTTTTGAGAGTCAGCAAAACACTTTAATCATGTGGTCAAATAATTTGATGAATAGGGCTATTATATGTCTTTTAATTCTGTATTGTTGACTATGTACTTGTGTGGGTAATTCCATTCAAAATAACACATTTTTATATTGATACTATGTTCCATTTTCTATGGAAAAGTAATCGGGTATATCAAAATACATAGTAATTTGTGTACTTATAATAGGAGTTTATAATACCAAACATAGTATTATTTAGTTCCATGTCTGAATTGCAGATCAGATGTCAAATTTAAGATTTCAATTGCATGGAATTAAAACTATTTAAAATAAAATATTTCAAGAAAGTGGTCAGTGCAGTATGTGACAGTTACATCATGTATTACTTAATAGAAATATAATTGGTTGTACAGACAAGAAGAAAAGCAATACATTATTTAAATTTGTATGTATCTGAACTATAAATTGCTTTAGACATGAGGTAGGGAGAGAGAAGGAGGATGATCTGTCTTTGTTTTAATCTCAGAATTACCATGGTGTCATAGAAAAAGAGAAGCTTGAAGTAAGGGTGTGAAACAAGAGTGATGCCAACTGGAAAAATGCAAGCAAGTGGAAAATAATTTAAAGCATTCATTATATGGAAGAGAGAGACTCAAAATTAGCAATGCCAGTGGCATATCCTATGAATAGAGTTGAAGCAGATGTATGAAATAGAGCTACTTAAAATAGAATATTAAACATGATAATAATGTTTAGACTTCTGTAATACATTCTACTGAGGATTTCGTGCTTACTTTTAAGACTACTAATGTCTTTGCAAGTTCAACCTAATGTGGGCTGAAAGACTACTACACTGAAAGGCAGTGGGCAAAATTTGAACACAAGGGTTTCTCTCTGAACATCAAGAAGCATTTCTGTACTTTGCAAGTGACAGAGCACTGGCACAGATTGCCCAGGGAAGTGGTGGAGTCTCTTCCTTGGAGATCTTCAAAAGATGATGGAAGCTCTGTTCTAGATGACCATGTCTGAGCAGGGGATTGGACCAGATAGATCCAGAGGTCCCTCCTAACCCCATCATTCTGTGATCCTGTGACCCATGGGAGAAGGATAGTCACCTCTTCTTTGTTATAGATCTCCTTCAAGTAGATGCATGAAGTAGTTGTTAATACATATTATTTTTTATAAAACTGATTAAAATGGGTCTGAAAAGAAGTTTTTTTGAGTACTTCAGGTTGCTGTAAAATGCCCGTAATCACTATGCACAAAGGTTTTGTGTACTAAATAGCAGCAGAAGGAATATCCCTGCTTCTTCTCAGTCCTGATGCTCCCAATGTATGGCACCACTTTATCCTAGAGAGTATGCTGAATGAGTGACTGGAACAAGACAGTATAGGATTCATACCATTCCAGGAGATATCTTTTCTGGAGACACTGGCTGTCTTTCAGTCTCCTGAGCACTCCAGAGTTCTGCAGACGTGTTCAATGAAGGTAAAACGATCTAAATCTTGCAGACTATACTGTTACTAAATTAAGCATGTGTTCTCATTTAGACATCTTGAGAATGAGTACATTCATAAAGACAGTAGAAGTTACAGACCTTCACTTCTCAGAGGTGTACTTTACATTTTGATTATTCACCTTCAAACGTTTCCATATCTTCAGAAGCACTTAGGGTTTGTCTGCTAATATTGTTCGTAATTGTGGGCAACGGACATTTAAAATCTGACTATTGTGTTGCAGTGTAAAAGGCAAATTTTTGTCCTTTTCCAATAATTTTTCATAGTCACATCAACATTCCACGGGATCAGAGGTAGATATTGTTGCAACTCCTACGTACTGAAAGAACATCTATCCAAGATGGAATTCCATGATCCACACTGCACCTTTTCTTGGGAAATCCTGAACATTTGCAAGGTCAGGGTTGCAGGGTGGTATGAGATGGATAAAACATCTTG